CTAAAACATCTTCTGGTGGTTGTGGAAAATGTTTGCGTATGGCTCTGAGTACTCGTCGAACTTTAACTAATCCGGTCCTCTGCAACATACATGTATACAAGTAGCCAAATAAAGGTTGGGGAAACTAAATAGCTGTGGGTGCTACAAGGCCTTGTCATTAGGACCCTTGTGATAAATTGTAATGATGAGGATAGGCACATGCAATGTACGGATATACATGGAATAAAAAAAAAGGAGAGAGAAGGGAGGAGCTTACAGAAGAAGCCTTTGCATAAGGGAGTATGTACTGAAAAACATCAGCACATTGTTCCTTTGTCTGGTAATCACCGGGGCTAGTATTTTTGTGCACAACTAACTCATCTTCATAGGATGAATCAGATCTAATATTTAGACCATATAAGCAAAAGAAACACTGATCCAATGCATAATCAATTTTTAACTCAAGTTCCTCCCTTTCATCTTCAATGAGCTCATCTCCAGCTTCATTCAATTGATCACTTTCTTCGGATCTGTTGAACTTGCCACCTGACCCATCTACATGTTGCTTTCCACTTTCCAATTCCATGCTGTCTTTATCTACGGCATTGTCAAGTGAAGTGCTTTTGGAAGGTATCCCATCAGAAGCATCCCTTCCTACAGCACTTGTATCATCCATTCCAGTGTGCACCATTTCCAAATCAATATCTGATTTTGATTCCTTGAGAGACATTTTGGCAGGACAATTTAGGCAAAGCTGCTCACTAGATTGAGTTGTTTCCTGGTTTGACGAGTTCATGTTAGATTTAAACTTCATATCCAAGGCCAACAGATGCTTAATTGCGAACTTAAGAAAAGTTCCTTCCTCCACTTCACCACCCTTCCCGGCACAGCAAAGCCCATACTCAGCGAGTAAATCATGCATTGTCACAATTAAGTCTACCTACGACGCAAAATCCGAAAATTTTAAAAAGGTAAGAGAATGAAACAAAAAAATGTTGCTGAAAGAGTTCATTGTATGAGCAACTTGAGTTCACAAGACTCACTTGAGTTTTAACATTTATCATAGCGTTGAGGTGCTGAATCTTGCAGAAAGCGATGGAAGCTTCAATGAAGCAACTTCTTTCAATTTGATCAGTATTTGCTAGATCAGAGGACTTCTTAGAGAGGAATATGCTTGCAACGTTGTACATTACTGATAAGAGCAAGCATTGCATATCACCTATGCTGCTCATTGGAATAGTGTCCTGCAAGCATAAGATATAATTACATACTGCACAAAACATGAAATTACAAAATCTCTAGACTCATCCACAAAGTTAATTCACTTTCGAAAACCTAATTATTTGTTTAATTGGAAAAAATGTACTGAATATTACAGTTTGAGGTAAGCATGATCGAGTATCAAAGCTATTTATACATAAATATTGATTGACTTACAGAAGCCCCAGATTGATCAATCAAGTTCTTCACTTGTGACACACAATGAGAAATAGCCTTCACTTCCTCAGCAACCAATAAATTCCAGCACTGCTTGCTTGCACTTTCTTTGGTGTCTATGTCAGAAGCATAGCGAGTGTTTGATCCTGATTTCAATAGTAAGGATTTACAGGAATCAAGGCATTCATCAATCCCTGCTGCTGCCATAAGGATTTGCAATTTCCGCTGATGGCAATTGAAATAAACAGCAACATCCATAGGCTTTGTCTTCTCGCATGCTTTGATTAAAATGTCCAGTGCTGATAGTTCAACAGAAGTAATTTCCTCTCCGCCTTTATCAACTAAGCGCAAGGGTAATGCATCAGGGGGAGCATTTTTTGTTGCAAATAGAAGTGGAACAAGCAAGGACATGCACTCCATGTACATTTCTTTCTCAATCATCTCACCCAAAGTCTTCTCCATCAAGAAATCAACCTTTAAAATGTTAATTTCATGGAGAATTCTATAAATGGTTAACTCTTTCACAACCTTGCAATATGGGAGGCGGATCACACATTGGGAATCATTCGTATTTTCCTTCTTTTCCAAAAGAGACAATGAGATACAGAATTCTTGGAGGGCTTTTTCCTTGTTGCCATCCAAAACAGACAACCGTCCCACTTAACCAGAAAAAACGAACCCAGAAGGAACTGTTACTTGTTAAAGAACCACCTAATGATACATCCTGGCAAACAGAGGTGTTCACGGATATTCCATCAGTACCAAAGAATCTCTTCAGCCCAAAAATATATTCATCTTCCACGGCTACTGATTCGATAATTTTACAAAGATGATAAGATGCCTCAGACATGAATTCAGATAGCCTGGAAACATCGGAAGACAACGACCCAAGATCATAATAAAGTTCAGCAAGAAAAAGACAACATTCAGGGCTCCTATCCTTCCCCCAATTCCTTGTAATTCTTTCCAACTCCAAGAACTTAACAAATGCATCCTGATACAAAAGACCTCTACTCGCAGCTTCCTCTAAAAGCAAATGAGCCACATGGAAAGCACCATAGTTATTTGATGTTTTTTTAATAAATCTGGACACATCACCATATTCAGTATCCCATGGATTAGCTTGATCAGGACATGAAACAGAACTATGACCAGAATCTTTGCTTCCTGATCTACCAGCAACAAAAGGTTCTAGATATTGAAGTACAGCCTTGGCCTGATCCTTACCATTAGCAAATTCAATATCTTCTTTCCCCGGTTTACGGCTTCTAAGCCTTTCAAGACGAGTACTCCGCCTTTCCTGTGGTTGGAAATCTAGAAAATTTGTTGCTTTTTCTATAACAACACCTGTTCGTTCGGTGTTACAATCACCAAATACAGCATTTCCACTGATTGGGGATAAGTTAAACCCTTTCCTTTCCTCAAATCCTATGGTACTCTCTGAACTAGGAGGTAAATGCAAAATTAATCTGACATCTCCAGATCGGTATGATTTTGCATCCCCCATCTCAGACTGACACCCAGTCAACGGGAGTAAGATATCCAAGAGTGCATCAACAAGAGCAGCCCAAGAAGCTTCTGCAAGGTTTAGATCTATGATCTGCTTCAGCTTCTTGGATGCAGCGCCCTCCTCTAGATTTTCATCAGTAGCTTTTCTCTTGTCAATGAATTTTAGACGGACATGTTTAGGTTCTAGCTTATCTATACCTCTAGGAGCAAATGGAACTGGCTCGGACTCTTCAATGGTTCTCTTGACATGCAAAGCACGAGAATGTGATGGCCAATGCCTCAAAATTAACTCAGCCACAGAAAGGCATGCAACCTCATCACCAATAGCAATAAGAACTTCCAATAATTTCTCCATACAGTTCCCTGCAGAAAAATTTCAGAGAAGACATAATATGACTCTGTCAAAATATGGTGCTGAGCCCATCATTATGAATATAGGACAAGTATTTTAGTATGGATGTAGAGAAAAATAATTCAAACATCATAAATTGCTCACAATTATTAGGGCTACATATAAGCCCTTGCTCAAATGCCCAACGGGATATACTGAGAGAACCCATTGAGCATGATAATGTTCCCAGCTGGTTCCAGACAACAGAATCTTTGGTATCAATCTCTACAGCTTGAAGATAACATCGTAAAGCGTTCTCATAATATGCTGAACCTTGTTGAAGGTAAACATTGGCAAGGTTCTTCAGAGCCAAAAATCTGCAGTCAGCATGAAAAATATAATTGGAGAAAGATGTTTACAGACATCTTGTTCATTTTTTTTCTTTTTATCCTTTTTATTCTCACAAAAATATTAGTGAGAGAAAAGTTACAAAACTAAAATTCTACACGAGACTGATTCCTCCTATGTGAATTAGAAAATTGTACACCGACTCCAAGAATTGCACAAAGTATATTATGGAGTAGTGCAGAAATCCAAACCTGAGTTGCAACAGATGGCAATCACTAACACTACCATCCACCTGCATGGCAATAGAAACAAGAATAACTACCTATTCATAGACAAACAACAAGACTGCCATCTAAAGAATGTCTGCTGAAGGTCCTACGCCCACCTGCACATTTTCTATAAGAGGATCTTTTAGGACGGATTCTAACAGCTCGGCAGCCTTTTTGTATTCCTTGACTTGCAATTTGTGAAGTCCTTCATGATATGTTTGTGAAAGATGGAATTCCTGCATGACCAAACTAAACAGTATGAACTCTATCTAATCACAGATCAGAAAAAGAAAACATCTTCAGCTGAGAAAATCTAAACGCTTCTGAATCGGGCTACCATACAGAAAACCCGCGTCCAACTCACATTTTCCGGCTCACTCGGTTTATTGAAACAACGATAAGAAGTACAATAAACTTCCCAAATATTAATGCTACACAGAATTCAAATTTCTCTCCTCTGTCCTCAATAAATTGACTTCTGCTAAAAGTGCTCGAAATTAATATACTATCCCAGAAAATCCCAACTCATTGAGCTAATTCAACCCAAAAATAGCTGAACTGTAACAGAAAAAGTAGAGAGAGAGAGAGAGAGAGAGAGAGAGGGCATGCCTGAGCTTCTTTGGTGGGAGCTAAAGGTTCCCATTTGCCTTTGGACTCCGTATCATTGATAGCTGCAATCGAGAACTGAAAAAGCATAGAAATTCAGAACCCGAACACCAAAAACAAAATCGAAAAATACTAAATTAAATAAAATAAACTCGATCGAATAAAGAAGCGTTCGAATTACTCACCATAGTCGAAAATTCGAATGCCGCAATGGAGTATTTGCAGAGAGGGACTCTGTTCAGCTAATACTAATTCTAGCTACTGAAAAGGGGATTAGGGTTTTCGCTCTGCAAAATTAACCCCAAAAATATAATTCGATCAGAGCTGGCTGAGTAGCTGTTATTGTTATTGAGCGAGGGAGATTTCGGCAGGAAGACGATTAACGGCAACCGGAGTGCGTCGTTTTAGCGGTTTTATGAAGTAATAAGAAACTCTTTTGTTTTTTGTTTTGTTAACTCGTAATAAGAAACTTGAAACGACCGCAACGCTGCGTTTAGTACTTTCTTCTTCTTCTATAGTTCCGCTTTCTAAACGCTGCGTTTAGAGCTGGTTGCTGACTGATTGGTTCCTGAGAAAATATTCACTGATCGATTCGCGAGAAAATTAATATGCAACCTAGCCCTGCGGGATTCTGTAAGCCCTAATTGCAGCCGCCGATCGATCATTCTTCTGTCTGGTTTCCCAGAGAGGTAAGGAAAACTAGCTTGCATTCAAAAACAACTGTCGTTCTTTGATTTGGAATGATCAAAATGCTGAAGGAATTGTTAATCTTTCTTCAACCAAAATGACAGTATCTTTGCTTCGTAGATTAGTGGAGCTCCAGTGCGGTTGTTTATTTCTTGTTCGATATGAAGTTGTCAGCTTGATTACTCTGCGGTTTTTGTGTCCCACCAACTGTTTGATGAAATGCGCCAATGAAGAAACAAAACCACTGAAATGTGTTACTCTGGTTGGTCAGGTTCGGGAAGCTATGCGTCGAATACGTATTCATAATCTTTGGATCAGCCTCTGCATTATCTGCATCATCATCACCTGCTCAAATTCAAGCGAGGCGAATGCGTTAGTATTATCCGAATGAAACCCAATTTGCAATTTTTCTGCTTGTGATTTCGTTCTATAGGAGCATTGGTTAAACCCAATTCACCGCTCTACACCTCTTACAGGACAGACATCAAAGTTTTGAAGGTTGGTGAAGAGCTGTGGAGGGAGACTCTACCGCTGCATTCGGGTTCATGCCTTTACTGGCTTCATGGACTCAAGCCTTATACTTGGTATGAAGTGAAGATATCATATCCTGCTTCTGTATGTATTTCTCAACTTTTAATTTGTTTTGTGCTGTTCAGCAATCCTCTTATGGGTTCCATAACTTCTATTGATGCGTGTTAATAGATACCGGCTAGCTTTTCCTTGCAACTCAAGAAAGGGGACTTGGAATCGGCACTGACTGGGAACCGAAGATTACTAAATACTGAAAAGCTTATTTTCAAGACTGAGAGTCTTCGCTCTGATGATCAGGTTCGATTTTGTCCACTGACCCTTTGAATTGGATGCATTGTTGCACCATAACTTGCATTTTCCGAGATGCCCTGTAAGTTTTTGGACTCTGATGACTGCTCAGGGTGATATGTCCGTGTTGGTGAGTGTGGAGCCTGAGGGGGTTGTTGCAATACCAAATGTGCAAGAGAGGGAACACATCATATTCAACATAGGTAATGCAGATATCAATCAATTGCTGCCATCATGCCACTAATTACAGTAAACTTTGCGCGAGAAGTTGGTACGAAAAAGGAGCTGTTATTGGCACTCGAAAAACCATCTGCAAACTGCACTTTAAGTTGCATGGCTTGCCAATAACAGCTCCCGTATGTAAATGTTTTTCTTTATCAATCTCCATCTTCTTTACTGTAGATTTTCCTGTTACAATTTGCTTTTGTAACAAAGTTCATCTCTTTTATGTTGGTGGCAGTTTGTGATGAACTACTATTGGGGATTCCGTACAAAGCTTGGTGGGTTGTAGGCTTTGTAGTGGTGTGTTTGGCCTTGGCGTTCACCATACCGTCGTTCCTTCCACCGTTTTTGCTGCCGCGGGTGGATGAGAATGCTTCTAAAGATTCTTGAACATCGGACTCACAAAACCAGCTGGCTTCGTCAAATTTTGGTATTTTGGTATCATCCTGCATTTCCACTTCACAGCGATTGAAGTATAGAGACTTGAATTCAGAAACAACTTTTGGAGGAACCACTTCTTGTTTGGCTTACAATTCGACTGGTGGTGCTTCTTAATTTTCTGTTACTTGTTGGGAAGATTTAGCACATTATCTCAAATTTGGCATGCACTCGGACAATGAAGCCACTTGTAGCTACTTATAGCACATTCAGTCCCTTAATTTACATTCTTATTTTTCTTTATTTTTTCTAAAAAATAAACAGTTGTTATCAACACTTCAAAATAGTCATTTCATTTTTCTCTGATCGAATGAATATACCGATGTGGTATAATTTGGATGATTTATTTTTAAAGTCATTGAAAGATTATTCTTGTAAAAACTCACTCTAGATCGAACAAATACAAAGTTACAACAAACAGAATGTTTATAATAATACATTAATAATCAACTAACCGATTTCCGTTCTAAGTGAGCTTTTGCCAGAATAATATGTCAATTAAGACTTCTTGGATCAAGAGATTATTTTGTAGGGAAAGCATAATCGAGATCCACACTGAGTTGATTACGTTAACACCGCTGAAGTTTAGTGAGTTTTCACAAAACTCCTCACATTCGAAACATTACATTAGCACCCCTAAGATTTTAATTACCAATCCTTTTCCAACCTTTTAGAGTTTAAGCCATAAACCTCTAGTTCACAGCAAGGCTCCCTATTGAATTTTGAATGTCTATATTTGTATTGTGTGAAACCAAGTACAATGAAAGCTCATATAAATGAGCGGAAGAAAGGAAAAGAAACAGGAGGAGCCGAAAACAAGGAAAAGCAAAACATAAAGAAACATAAAGAAAGAAAAAGCAAAGCATGAAACATGGAAGCAGAAAACATGGAAGGAAACATGGAAAAGTAAAGCAGCCCTAGAAAAGTAAAGCAGCAGCCCTAGAAAAGTAAAGCAGCCCTAGAACTTCTTCCATGCTTTCTTCCAATACTCCCCCTCAAGCTGGATCAAAGGGATTAATTGATCCAAGCTTGAACAAAAGACGTTGAAAATCAGCAGAGGGTAATCCTTTTGTGAAAATATCCGCAAGTTGATCATGACTGCGCGTGTGGTGAGCGTCGATCACCTTGGACTGAACTTGATTTCTGACGTAGTGACAATCAACTTCAATATGTTTAGTTCGCTCATGGAATACAGGATTCGATGCAATGTGCATCGCGGCCTGATTATCACAGTGTAGGGACATGGGTTGTTGATGAGGAAAACCTAAAGTCAACAGAAGGCTTTTGAGCCAAATAAGTTCACAAGCAGTGGACGCCATAGCACGATACTCTGCCTCTGCACTAGAGCGTGCAACAACACTTTGTTTCTTGCTTTTCCAGGTAACTAGGTTGCCTCCCACAAACGTACAAAACCCAGTGGTAGACTTGCGATCGAGAGAATTGCTTGCCCAGTCAGCATCGGTATAGCCTGAGATCTGAGTGTGACTATTGTTGCGCATAAGAATTCCTCTACCAATGGAACCCTTAAGATAACGTAGCACACGATGGACAATCTTCAAATGATCCATGCTTGGAGAGTGCATAAACTGGCTAACAATGCTGACAGCATATGATATATCAGGACGTGTGATAGTCAGATAAATGAGTTTGCCAACCATTCTTTGATAGTAACTTAAATTGGGAACTGGATCACCGTGAGTTTTTAGCTTCAAGTTGCTATCCAAGGGAGTACGAGCAGGCTTGCAATCTGTCATTTTTGCTTCGTGAAGAAGATCCATGACATACTTGCGTTGGTTGAGGAAGAAACCCTTGTGAGAGTGTGCCATCTCGATGCCCAGAAAGTATTTGAGAGTGCCAAGATCCTTGATAGCAAACTTGTTGTTGAGATACTATTTAAGAGCATTAATCTCTGACATATTATCACCTGTCACAATTAGATCATCAACATAAATGAGCACAACTAGTTTACCCACTAAGCTGGAACGAACAAATAGGGAAGAATCCGCAATACTTCGACAAAAACCAACCCTTTCCAGAACATGACTGAGCTTGGCATACCATGCACGTGGACTTTGCTTGAGACCATAAATGGATTTATGGAGTTTGCACACCATTTCTGGATTGTTTGATTGAGGATGACCTGGGGGTAGCTTCATGTAAACCTCTTCTTCAAGTTCACCATGCAGGAAAGCATTTTTAACATCCATTTGAAAGAGAGGCCATGTATTGTTAATTGCAACCGATAACAATACTCTAACAGTGTTCATTTTTGCCACCGGAGCAAATGTCTCTTTATAATCGACGCCATAGGTTTGTGTAAAACCTCGAGCAACCAAGCGAGCCTTATTCCTTTCGATTGTGCCATCTGAATGAAACTTAGTTTTGTACACCCAACGACTCCCCACTGCCTTCTTTCCTTTTGGAAGTTTCACTATAGTCCATGTGTTATTTTCATGGAGGGCTTGAAGCTCATCTGCCATAACATTTCTCCACTCACTGTAAAGAGTGGCTTCTTGAAAACTTTGAGGTTCTCGAGCTTCATTAATGGCACTTAGGAATGTAGCGAAAGAAGATGAGACTTTGCTATAATCGATAACATCAGTCACGGGATACCTGGCAGTGTAGGTCACATAATCATGCAACTTGGATGGAAGTTTCCTCTCTCGTGCAGGATTGCGACGAACTGTAGGAGATTGAACTACAGGTATTTGAAAAACATCATGGTTGGAAGGATCACTGGAGGATGCAGTGTGAATCTCTGATGAGGAAGGGTTTTCATCTTCAAGATGTTCCACCGAGTGAAGGTTAACATCATCCGGCACATGATCACTAGGAGTGCATGTTGCATCTTCTCCGTTTGGATATGGAAAAGGAAATAAGTCCATCAAATGCTCCCCCTGTCTAGAGTAATCCAGTGATTATGAGAAGTAAGGAACATGTTCTTCAAATTTAACATCCCTTGAAACAACCATTTTTCTAGTTGTTGAATTATAGCACTTGTAACCTTTTTGGGTAGATGAATAACCTAGAAAGACACATTTGGCAGCCCTTGGGTCTAGCTTGTCACGATTTTGAGTTTGAATGTGAACAAAGCATGTACACCCAAAGACTCTCAAATGGGAAAAGTTGATCTTTCTATTTTTCAAGACCTCATAAGGTGATTTAAAATTCAACACTTTACTAGGCAATCTATTGATGAGATATGCCGCAGTAAGGACTCCTTGAGACCAAAACTTCTTAGGCACATTCATGTGAAACATAAGAGCTCTAGTCTTCTCAAGTAGATCTCTATTCTTCCTCTCGGCCACCCCATTTTGTTGAGGTGTTCCAACACAGCTTGTTTGGTGTAATATACCATGCGTGCTCAAGTAGTGTGACATGTTATGAGACATATATTCTGTGCCGTTATCTGATCGTAAAATATGAATTTTTGAAGCAAATTGGGTGGCCACAAGTCTATGAAAATCTTGAAAAACTTCCATCACTTCACTTTTAAATTTCAAAAGATACAACCAAGTAATCCTTGTGAAATCATCCACAAAAGTTACAAAATATTTGTATCCATCAAAAAACTCTATAGTTGGTCCCCAAACATCGGAATGCACAATTTCAAAAGGGTTACTAGCCCTAGACAAAGAGGAAGTAAATGGTAATCTAGTAAACTTAGAAAAATGACAAACATCACAAGGACTTGTAACTTTGCACATATTTGGGAACAAGGTGGATAGAACTTTTTCAGAAGGATGTGCTAGACGTTGGTGCCAAAGTTGTTGTTCTTGAGCTAAGCTTGAAGTGACTTGAAAAACCTTGGGAACTTGAATATGCTTGGAAAGATAGTAGAGACCATTTAAGAAAAATCCTTCACCAATCGTCTTCTTGGTGACTACATCCTGAAAGATCACATTTTTGGGAGAGAAAATGGCAAGACAATTTAATGAGTTTGTGATCTTGCTAACAGATAAAAGTTGAAAAGGGAATGAGGGAACATAAAGAGCCTCAGACTCGACATCACTTGAGATCAAATGTATTTTTCCTTTTCTCACAACCATAGCATTTTTTCCATTGACAACTGACACTTGGGATGGAATAGAAAACTTTTCAAATTTATGCAAGTTTGTAGACTTGTTAGTCATATGATCAGTGGCTCCAGAATCTATAATCCAATAATCATGCACATTACCAATGTTGAGAGCAGTTGAGAAGGAGTGTAAGATACCTGGGATGTCCCTTTGTACCACGCCTTCATTTCCAGCCAGGAAGCCAGCAAACTGTCCTAGTAGTGCAGTTTGATTGTTGTCACACTGATTTAGTGGTCCTTCACTATCTCCAAGACCTTGTTTCTTGTGAAGAAACATAGCAAACTCGTTGATCAGTGCAGCTGGATTAGTGGTGAACTTCAGTGCTCCATCAGAAGAAGTTGTGGCAACATGATTTGCCTTGTAAGAAGGGTTATACGAGCCTTTCGAGACACCTTTGTTATCCCTAGGAAACTTTGGTTTTAACTCTGGATGAAGAATCCAGCATCGGTCTCTTGAGTACCCACCAGCATCACAATGGCTACATTTTAAGCCAGTTTTCTTTCCTTTGTAGCCTCTCTCCTCACCAAGTTTTTGGTTAGAGAAGTAAGCCCTAGCTTCTAGTATATTTGCCTTCATGTCCAAGGTCATGACTTTCCTTCGAACCTCTTCTCTTTGAATTGTGGCACACACACTTGAAAAAGACGGTAGGTCGGGATTCATGAGGATATGGCTTCGAAGATCTTCGAATTCAGGGCTTAGGCTTGCTAGGAGTTGGAATATTTTGTCTTCCTTGGCTCTTTTAGTTAGCACAGCAACGTCGATGGTGTGTGGTCGATACACATTCAGCTCGTTCCACATAGTGGTCAGCTTTCCAAGATGTTGCACAAATGGCTTCCCTTCCTGTTGCAAACCAGCAATGTCCTTCTTTAACTGAAACACTCTAGCCGCATTGTTCTGATTTCCATACATTTCCTTGAGATTTTTCCAAAGAGTCATGGAGGATTCAGCATAGCTAAAAATTTCTGCAATCTTACGATCCATGGAATTGAGTAGCCACGACATGACCAACTGGTCTTTGCATAGCCAAGCATCATACTCCGGTGAGGTAGTCTCAGGCATTGGAATAGCACCATTAACATAACCAAGCTTTGATCGTCCTCCCAGAGCAAGAGAAACTGCTCTCTCCCATGGAAGATAGTTAAACTCATTTAGCAAGACAGAACTAAGACGTTGATTTGGGTTGATATCAATATCTGAGTGTGGTGATGGTGAAGTAGCATGAAAGCCGTCTCCTTCCAAATTTACTAAGCTTTCTTCAGCCATGATTGAAGGACAAGAAGCTCACAAATCTCTCAAGAGAACACCACAGAGACAGGCCGGTTAGGGTCACTGCTCTGATACCATATTGAATTTTGAATGTCTATATTTGTATTGTGTGAAACCAAGTACAATGAAAGCTCATATAAATGAGCGGAAGAAAGGAAAAGAAACAGGAGGAGCCGAAAACAAGGAAAAGCAAAACATAAAGAAACATAAAGAAAGAAAAAGCAAAGCATGAAACATGGAAGCAGAAAACATGGAAGGAAACATGGAAAAGTAAAGCAGCCCTAGAAAAGTAAAGCAACAGCCCTAGAAAAGTAAAGCAGCCCTAGAACTTCTTCCATGCTTTCTTCCAATACTCCCCAACATGAAATCAGACCATCCTTACAACTTTGGAGTCGTTAAGTCCTGGGTGAAGCAAATGAAACAGTGAGGTGAAGAACGACGCCGTCGGGACTACAATGGTCAACTACGTAATGCAGGAAGATCCGTGAGATTCTAGTTCGTGGAAAGTTTGTCACTCTGCCCTTGAATCATTAAATTTTTTACTCAAAAAATTTCTTAAAAGTAAAGACCGGATGTAGTTTTAATTTAATGTCTCAAACGTGAGAGAATTTATGAAAACTTGCCAAACAAAAGGAAGTGCTTATTAACATTATATAAAGTATAAATTTACCAACTTATAAGCGCGTCATGTGTCTCAAATACAACTACAGTTAACTCCACAAGCACAGGACATGAAAGCAGAGAAAACAAGAACAAAAGAGGAGTCTCTTCATTAACAAAAACACATAAACCTACATAATCTATTAATACAAAACTAAAACACCACAGCCACCATTACCATACACCAAGCATCGTGAATTGCCCATACCCGTGAGCCCTTTGCTTCGCCGCCACATAGTTAGACGTGTATGTATACAACCACCAAAATGCTGCCACGGCCACCATGCCGTACACGCCGGACAAAATAAAACCGGAGGCTGTGAGGAAAAGGACTATCCCAGCCGGGACTAGTACCGGACTAAACAGCACTAGAACTGGTGTGGCCATGATCAGGGCCATCACTGTCCCGGTCAAGGTTAAGCAGGACAAGACTAAGAGCGCAGCACCGATTGTGACCGCGATCAAGAACTTGGTGGCCCGGTATGAGACCGGGGCCGACTCGTAGAGCTTCTGGCTCGTTTATCATGATTGATCAGCCATGTTTTGCTCACGGACTCCCTTGGTGAAAAAGTGAATCTGTGAAGGATGTTTATAAATTTGTGTTTTGGTGACACGTAGGATGATTCCCCAGCAAAAAGGCCAAAATATGGGATTTTGAATCCTCGAGACACTCAAATCTTTCAACAAAAGCCGGGTGGGGATGGATAAATTTTATAACTTTCAGCTCCTTCTTGAAGGCGAAATCAATCATCTTCTGAACTTCATCCACGTCCATAGATGTTACTCTAATCCTCGATCGATCTCGACCGAACTAGTATTAATTTCTCCATATGGTTTTTCCAAATCAATTGTTCTGATTCGGTTAAACTCTACATCGGCCTGCACTGGTAGCGGCATTTCTCCTCCTAGGGGAGCATTTTTCTTTAAAGAGGTGGTCTATTCTGTTTGTTGGCAAGCCTACTCTCTTGAACCTTGTAAATTAGATTCTCGAGCAACTTGTTGGTCATTATGTGGCTTACATTTGCTATGTCTTGGTTAGTGCTTAAGCCACCTACCTCTCGACTTGTGATGTGCTCAACTTGTCGAGATAGTTCTTCCAAAATTCATGCTTAAATGAACTACATCTACAACATTTGAGATGCTAAATTTTCAAGCAAAATTTATATTCAAAAAGCAAGAACAAAGCTTGTAACGTTTACAACATTTAAATCACAAACCATGAAAAACACAAAACTCAAAATGATTCACCATACACTAGACCTAGGCTTTGATACCATTTCAAGGAAAATTGAAGGAAATTTTTTTTCCTAGCTAAGAACATGTGAGAACATTTGAACACATAGGCAAACTATTAACACATTAAAGTAGGTATGCATTTCTAAAACTCATGACTTTCAAAGCCCAGTGAATGGTAAACCACAAGACTCTTTAACAACATTAAAGAGAAGAGAGTTTTTGAGATTCATTACCCTTGAAGCTCATCCCTGTTTACACAAGGGATTCACCTAAGCGGAGGGCCTTCAAGTCACCTCCTAGCTCCTTGAATCTTCCTTGTGATTTTTCTTCCTTTTGAATCTCCTTTGCTCCTTGAGGATGTGAGGAAAGGAACTCCAAAAGGTTCCAAAGGTTTGGTACCTCTAAGTCTCCACACCAAAGATGTAGTGTGAAGAGAAGATGGATGACTTAGAAAGATTTTAGATGCTAGTAAAAGTCTCCCTAAGTGGCCGGCCTCTATAGAGAAAAAGGGAGAAAAGTTTCTCTTCTTTGCCTCAAGAAAACCCTAGTGACAAAAAGCTATAAAGATAACTTTATACTACCTCACATGTGAGTGGCAAACTTGGAATTAACCTAAGTTTGCTACCACTTACCCTTGCCCGGTTTTGACTTTGTTTTTGGGTTAATTTCCATTTAGTTTTAGTTGTCACACAACCTAAACTCAATGGGCTTTGTGGACCAAAAACCCTTTTGGGCCCCGAAACCTAAAACCAACTTAAAAACCATTACGAACCTTTCGTAAGATTAATTAACTAATTAATTAATCATGACCATTCTCAATTAAACTATTTAATTGCTTATCCATCTCATTTATATTTCTTCACTTTCATCCTCACTCAGTGTGCGATCCATTAGGTTCCAATTAGCAAGGCAGTGGACGATTGTTACTCTTAACGATCGATTGTGAATTGAAACTACATTTCAATTCTTCCTTTGATGAAGATTAATGTTTGCTAATCTTCAGAGCTTCCACAAACTATGAGTGAGATCTAACAATATGTCATGGCTACCTAAGCTAAGTAGAAGTGGTTGGAGAACTTATCCAGTTACAATTATAATGCAATACGATCCTTCTCTAATACAATTCTCTTAATCACATTGTTTGAGTGATAGTTTGTTTCATGTCTACTATTCAATGTGATACTTGTCTTACATGATTCAATTGAATATGATTTTGAGCAAACTTCCTAAGTCATATTCGTATACTTTGGCCAAAGACTCCCGAATCATATTTCAGAGTATTCTCCCTCCACCATGGAAGGTTAGAGATCCCTTGTTGTGTATTCATATGCCTACATGACTAGATAGCTTGACCCCAACAATGTCGTGGACACTCTCGATGGAATGCCTTTGACATGATCAAAGATCAATGACCTAACCATTAAACATCTATGATGCATCAGGTCAAATGACTACTTTGCATATTGCAACTTACGAGCTCTTACATGACATATATGTTCAAACTCTCTTTTGATCGTGGTTCAGTGTACTCAATTAACTTTTAAGCACCTATGTGTTTGTCTCAGTGTCCAACACCAAATGCCTTGAGACTAGTCATACTCATGTTTGAGTTAACATAACACATACTAACCTTAGCAGATAATCAATGCCCAATTGGCAATCTTATGGCTAGGAACGTTTTAGGAATGAACATAAGAGAAATGTCTCATTAATCTAACTTACTTAGATCACTTCTCTCTTAGATTAAATACATTCCTTTGATTCTCTTATTGCTACACATAATACAATAAATAGTGATTAACAATAAGCTTTACTCTTCATTAAACATATAAAAATTTAACACAATAAGTATTTCAAAAGCTATTACATCAAATGAGTGGCTTTGTGAGCATACTTCCAACAACATAATCCTATGAAATCCATCACTTATCAAAATCTATTAAAATACTCTCAAATTCTTTCGGGATTCATAAATTCAACCCTAAAAACCACTTACAATTAAAAATAAAATGACATTTAGACTTATCTTTTAAAATATATTTTATAATCACCTGTGACTTACATTATCTCCCTAACATCACTTCCCACCATTATATGCCCATACGTGATTAAGGGTTTGCGGTGGACATCGTTCGCAATTTAGGGGTTCAGGTTGGGGGTACAAACCTGAACTTCTGCCAATTTTCTGTTAAATAAACAAACGTGACTATCACATCAGGTTAAAATCATTATTTTAATCCAAATTTAGAAGGCCAGGACATTGCCGTAAATTATAGTAGAATTAGAGTTCAAGTGAATTGAATTTGATGGAAAAGAGAAGGCTGGAATGACATTAAACATCATTTATGTAACATTAACTGCCACGTCATGTGACCTACAAAGTAAAACTTAAAAAGATAATCTCTCTAAAATCACAATCAAATCTACAAACAAATTTGTACGAACTGCCCATACGCGTTACCCCTTTTCTTAGCAGCCACATAACTCGACACGTTCTTATACATCCACGAAAATGCCGGTATTGCTGCCATCCCGCACCCGCCGGAGAAAACAAGACCAGCTGCCGTCAGGAACTGGACAATCGCAGCCGGTACTAGAACCGGACTAAACAGGACCAGAACCGGGGTGGCCATGATGAGGGTCATCACTGTCCCGGTGAAAGTTAACCCGGATAACATCAGGAGGGTGATACCAGCTGCGCCCGCTGTCAGGAACTTGCCAGTCTGGCCGGCTGCGGAGAAGGAGGGGCCCAACAGCTGCCACTGGTCCTGGTCTTGGTCGTGGAGCTTTCGGGTCAGCTGTTGCTGTCGTGATTGATCGGCCATGGTGAACACAGTTGTGATCTATCAGAATGTGAAGTGTTCTGATCGACGGAGAGACGAATAAATATGAGGAGAGAGGGAGGTGGATGCATCATGCGTGGAAACGTGGCAGTACGTACAAGAGGTTGGTGTTGTATGCCAGGTCGTTTTGTTGCATGAGTTTGAATTCATACGAGTGAAACACGTTGGTTGAAGAAAGTAATGCGTGGCATCCTTGCTCTCTCCTGTGTGGCTAGCTATAGTGTTAACTTGGATTACCCACAATGACTAACTTCAACAATATTCCATTATATTGCTTAATGATTGAAAACGAATTCCAGATCCATATTTTACAGGTCACGTCCTGATTCGATTTTTGGTTGCTAGTGAATCACATGATGATGGTGAGGAGAAGTTGAAATGTCTTTATGAATCTTTTCGACTCCTTAAAAAAAGTAAATTGTTGTGATGAAACCACTAATTAATCCTCTTTTTATTAATTAAAAACAATATTTTGTGATATTGAATCCTTTTATAACAGTTAGATCTTAATGTTTAAATTTTGATTGTTCAATTTTCAAAATGCTAAATAACCATTTCAATTGAGAAAAATTACTTTTAATAACATGAAAGATATATCAAGGTGTTCAATGATGAAGAACATCATCAACTAAGTCCACAATTTTGAGTCATTGCCCTTTCTAATTACGTATTCAAATTAGGAGCCATTTTCGACACATGCAAGTTCCGACCTTCCAAAAATCTCGAGTGTTCCGATCTGTCCAAAAGAAGCCTACTTGGAGTGATTGTCACCTTCTAACTTTCACAGTCAGTGACGCTAGCAAGACTCGATACTAATACGCTCCTCATCCGAATAAAGAAACAGGCACCGTCGATTTTAGTAAGTCCCGCAAGATTCACAGGACTGTAATCTACACGGCAACAGGTAATTACTTCCTAAATTTTGAAAAGTCCTAGACAAAAGCCAGAGCGGGAGGACCACGTGGCGACAACTGGGAATTCGACCGTTGCGAAGTGCTTATTCAATCCCTTCTTTAGCATTCCCCTTTCCTTCAATCTTTCTCCCTCTGTCATTCTTTCTCTATCTGTCTCCCCCCTCTCTCTTCTCTCTCATGGCGATTGCTGCGGAGAACCAGGCACCCCAAGAGAAGGTGAGAGTTAAAGAAACCCCTTTCAAGTTTCAATTTTTTTTTTTTTTTTCAGGCGTTAGGGGTTTTTGAATCCCCACAATTCGAATTCTAGGGTTTTCATTTCTTTTCGATCCTATGAAGATAATGGTTTCCTTAGGTTTATGTGAATTTGAGATTGCATTTTTAAAATTCGAATTTTGACTCTAGGGTTTTCTGATTCGAAGATTTAGGAATCTGGGGTTGGTCAATTAGCTTCAATTTTCGAGAATTTAAAATGCTCATTGGTGAAAATTTTATTTATTTGTTTCTTTCTTGATTTTTTTATTTTATGTGGATTTTGAAAAATGGGTTCGGTTTTAACTTTCAACAGGCATCTTCGGAGGTTTCGGCGACGGAGACAAGAAGATGGACGCTCAACGACTTCGATATCGGAAAGCCTCTCGGACGAGGAAAGTTTGGTCACGTCTATTTGGCAAGAGAGAAGAGGGTATGTTCCTTTTCTTCTTTTTTATGGGCATGCATTTTGCAAATTTTGATTTTCTCCAGCTGCTATTTATTTTTTTTGTTTGGTACTTGTGCTCAATTCATGGATATTAGGTGTTTCGATCTTGGTTGGTTTGTTTTGGTGAAGGAATTAATCTTTTATAGGTTCCGACTTGTATTTCGTTCTTGATCTGTCGTTTCTTTGGTTGTTGTGAAGTTTGGCATGAATAGGAAGATCTAATGAAGATTTTGGTTTATAATATGCATTCTTATAAGTTTTCCTAGATTCAATTGTGTACCCAATTTGATCTGTATGTATCCTTTGAACAGAGCAATCACATCGTCGCACTCAAAGTCCTCTTTAAGAGCCAGCTGCAGCAGTCTCAGGTTGAACATCAGCTTCGTCGTGAAGTTGAGATACAAAGTCATCTTCGACATCCCAATATCCTACGCCTCTACGGCTACTTTTACGATCAGGTATATTACTCCTAAGCTACTTATTTTTGAACATCTTAAACCTATATTACTCAGTGGAAGGAAGGTTTTTTACCCTTTCTTTGGAATGTATTTATTGCAGAAACGAGTTTATTTGATATTAGAATATGCTGCTAAAGGTGAACTGTACAAGGAACTACAGAAGTGTAAATACTTCGGTGAAAGACGTGCTGCCACTGTAAGTTGTTTTCATGTGGTGTTTCGTAATTCATTTACATTTGTGCTTTGACATAAATACTTTACCATGTTAGGTCATTTATTTTTTAAAATTGGGCTAGAATTCTGATGTGTGTGTGTATGTATGTTGTATTGGCAGTATGTTGCATCATTAGCCCGCGCCCTTATATACTGCCATGGAAAGCACGTAATTCATAGAGATATCAAACCAGAAAACCTACTCATTGGTGCACAGGTACTGACTGCCATCCATGCTTTTATATGTTTCTCTACATTTTCCAATACGTATATGATGTTCATCGAATCAATGTGGATCTCCTTTGATAGGGTGAACTCAAGATAGCAGATTTTGGGTGGTCAGTGCACACATTCAACCGCAGGCGGACCATGTGCGGCACTCTTGATTACCTCCCTCCTGAGATGGGTATGTTAATAGAAGACACTGTTCTTATGCAAATGATAGAAGGACTTGTCTTTATTCACCATATAAACTGTATCATTCTTTTGGAACAGTGCCTGTCCAAACTGATCATCTTTCGCATCCATTTCTTATCGTTGTGCAACTTTTATAGAAAACCATTTATAGCATTATTCTGTGAAAAACAACCCTACTATATCTACTACCTTACGAACACTTCTGGGCTTGTGAAATTTGTCATCAAACAGTGGAGAGTGTAGAGCACGATGCTAGTGTGGATATCTGGAGCCTTGGCATCCTGTGCTATGAGTTCCTATACGGAGTCCCACCTTTCGAGGCCAAAGAGCATTCAGACACATATAGAAGGTAAAATGTAGACTACAAAATGATTAAAGTTCACAAAATAGCTTTTGTTATCACCTAATGTCCTATTCCCCATGTAACTTGTATGAGTGAGTGGTGAGGAATTCTGCATAGAGTGACATCCATTTTATGCTAACACCAATCTTAAGATGCGAATTTTCCCAACAGGATATGGTACATGGCTAATACTGCTCTTCTATTTGTCTTCACAGGATTGTGCAAGTGGATCTGAAGTTTCCTCCGAAACCAATTGTCTCTGCTCATGCAAAGGACCTCATTAGTCAGGTTTTTGCCCTCATTTTGTGTACTTAAATTCGAGTATTCGGTAATCTTTGTCGCTTCAAAATAAAGGGGTTATTAGTAATGCCTGAATTTTTTCGCTTCTAAATGCAGATGCTTGTCAAGGATTCTGCTCAACGCCTACCGTTACACAAGCTTCTTGAACATCCATGGATTGTTCAGAACGCCGAGCCCTCTGGCGTATATAGGATATAATCCGCCAAGCCAGATACCGTCGAATTCCTAATGGAGGAGATAATGGCAGTAGATTTTTATGTTCTATGAGCATCTCAACATTGTTTTTCTAGTCGGCCAACTTTGTGATGCAATACTTCCTTGTATGAATCTATTGATATAAATTTGTTTGTTAATAAAAATTCTTTGTTTTGCACAACATGAGTTCCTTGTTAGATCACTACTACGCATTGAAAGCCTGAAACTGCTCACTAAAACTTACATGTAAGGGGGTCGCAACCACGCTATTTCTACGCCTCCCATCACGGGGTCACCCTGGTTACAGGTAAGTTATTCTCCACTCGGTCCATTTTTGGATATGAAAATAAATAAAATTTGAATACAACACTGATCCAACAGAGTGAAGTTCTGATACATCTTCTTCGTACAGCTTGCTTAATTAAAAAACTTTAGATACAAGCGAACAATCAATGGTCTACACATAAGAAGTCAAATCTTGAACTTCCATCATCCGCATTCTGGGGATGGTACATCAATCATCATCTGACTAAGGATTATAACTTAGACGTGCTAAAGAGAAGAGCCGCATGCATGTTTTCATGACATGGTAGGGATGTCTTTTGTTGCGAACTTGCTATCTTTACAGTTTTCCCCTTCCAACATTTGGGTTGGAGGCTCTTCCTCTTCTAGGACTTCCTTGACGTCTTTAGGGTTCAAGAAACTCGGTTGGTTGGTTGAAGAAAGGAGTCGCGCCCACATCCTGTCAGTAATCACAACCTTGTTCTGCTTCTCTGTAATATGCTGCATATCGAAAATCAAACAGATCAATCACTGACGGGTCTTCATTTTGAACTGTTCGGATCAACATTTCTATTGGGATACATCTCATGAAATTGAAGAAGATGCAGTTGAAGGCGAAAATAAGAAGCGATAACTATGTAAGAGATGGGGAACCTACATTAAAAGGAATATAAGAATGCCTTCCATTGACAGGCCCACATGTGAAGCCTGTGTACCCTGCCATTGCTCCATGAACAGCACTTTGAGCAAGGAGTGTGCAGTAGACATTGTCGGCTGCATTGCTTGGAATAGCCCTGATCATGTACGTTGGATCTGGAAAAACAATTTGACTGGTTAGATGCTATTCCATACATAGTTTTGGTGAATTTTTGAATGGGGAAACAGAAGCAAGTAGAGAAATCTACGGCTGCTGACCTATATACTTAAGATTAATGGCAAGCTTCTGTTGTCTTCCGAAGTGACTCTGAAACATAAGCCAACAACCGTTAATCAAACAAAGGAAATTTAAACAGATTCTTTAGTAATATGTCTGCACCAGCTATCAACTTCTCAGTTGCCAGTCGCAGATGAGATTTTTACTTGCAAATGGAGAAGAACGACTTGTAACTTTTATGACAGTAGATTCTTAGATAAAGAGAAAATTGATATGATATGCGGAAAATAAAGCGGGGAGAAAAGATTGCACTGGGATACCTTTATCCTCTGAGAAATCCATAGCCCAACATCTTTAAGTAGCTTGTTTCCTGAGGCATCCTGCTGGTTCATGGATTGCAAGCTCTCTGACAGTAGATCTTGTCCTGCACCCTCAGCTATCACAATAATCATATGCCCATTTTCTTTTAGTCGTTTTTCAATGTACTCAAAAAGTCCACCTTTCCCTTCAAGATAGAAGGGAGACTCTGGAATCAAACAACAGTCCACATCTCGGCTGGCAAGTGTAGCATACATAGCTATGAAACCTGCATCAGGAATTCCAGTTTAAACGGAAAGCTGTACAAGGCTGGTAGCAAAACATAACTAGTGCGAACAAAATTCTGCAATTTCTTCCTAATTAAATATCATCGATTAGGACACGTATTTCCATGAGCCTATGACATTAAACATGTTTAGGCGCATTGTGAGAATACTTACCACTGTAAGCGTCCCATTAGCTTCACAACACCAATACCGTTCTCAATACTTTCAGCTTCAACATGAGCTGCATTAATGGCACGTTGAGCCTCCTCAACCGCAGTATCAAAGCCAAAAGATCTGTCTATGACCTGAATGAAGAAAATAAAATTACTGCCCGAAACAACAAAAGCAGAAACCAAAATTAGATCATATGTTCTGTATAAGAAATACCGGAATGTCATTGTCTATGGTTTTCGGAATTCCTGCAACAGAAACTTTGAGGCCACGCCGCCTAATTTCCTGCACAATGAAAACTAAACTGCTAAAGAAATAGTTCTGACATTAGAACAATGACGAGTAAATTCTAATTTCAATAGCAAATAAACAAATGAGATTGTAACATACAGATCATCAAACAAGTCAGAAACAGTTAAGCATGGAGTTATTCTTTAGTAAGAGTAGCCACGAGTGGCACCCTTATGCCAATGTATCAAACTTTCATATTTTCGTGGAGAGTAGTTTTACCTCATATATGACAGCTGCTCCTTTTTGAGTTCCATCACCTCCGATTATGAAAACCTGTATCACAAAACGCAAGCTATGAGAATTTGTCTCCGTGCCTTGTCTGTGAGATATTATGTTTGAATTTACGATATATATAGCTAATATGACTCAGAACAATAGTTGAGAAGAACAAATCCTTACTTGATTAATTCCACGATCCTGAATGCTGTCAACTATCTTTCCGGTATCATGTCCTCCTCGCGATGTACCAATGATAGTACCACCACGTTTGTGGATGTCATTGACAACCTTGGGTGTCAAGGTAGTGGTGTTTCGGGCATAGAAACCCTTGTATCCTCCCTAATACATGTAATTGTATAATTTGTTAGTATGACAAACTGAACCTCAGAAATGTCAACATACATTCATGTCTATTTTACAAAAGGAATAACAGACTATTTTCTTTTTCGATGTCAAAAAACAAATTGAACGTCGAGATTATGTTAATGTAAACACTCACGTCTATCCCAAGAACTTTCGAAACACCATACATGTGATAAAGTCCACACACAATTTCCCTGATCACGGTGTTGAGTCCCGGGCACAAACCACCACATGTTACAATACAAGCGTGAACTTCAGCCGGGTCGAAATAAACCTGAACCAAACCAAAACACATGAACGCACTGTCACTCAAATACAAACACATTTCATAGTATTGTTACTTTGGTAGCAATTAGAGAGCAAAAATGTGATACCTTCTGGCGTGGTCCTGCTCGCCGGAAGTGAGTCCCCCTCGGACTATCCGTGTGAACAACAATCTGTAAGCCAGAGGAAAACCATAGCATTTCAAGCTCACATTTACAAATAACAACCAATCCCAAAAACTGTTAAATTAAAAAAAAAAAAAAAAATATATATATATATATTAAATAAACAGAATTTAATTGACATTATACAAAAATAATACAGAATGTGATCTACCCTCTATATGAAATTAGATTAATACTTTAATTATTATTATTTTTGAATAATTTATAAAATTACAAGAACGGTAATTACCTTTTGAGCAACGGTGTCATCGACGTGAACAAAATACTGCCTAAAAAAAGTAAGATCACAAAAGAGTCAGTCTTTTGCATTGAATCAAACACCAAACAAAAGCAGAAATCATGGGTATGGATTAAATTTACGTACTTTACAACTGAATAAGCAGGATTGGATCTCAACGGATTGGGATAAGTCTGCACCCGCAACCAAACACCCCCCCCCAAAACAAATCGATTAGATTCAGAAAATAAACGCAAATGCAGATTTAAAAATCGAAAAAAAAAAAGACAAGCGAGGAAATTTACAGGAAGATCGGACAAGTAATCGGAGAGATGGGGGACGTCTTCGAGCACGTAGCCGAAGTCGCCCTTGACCACCTTCATCTGCACGTTTCCGGCGGGACACATTGCCTTCGCGGCAGGGTTTCAAATCGCCCATCTGTAGTTATTTGTCGAATTTAATTCTCTGAAGAAAAATGTATGTAATTCGAAGGAAGCAGAAAAAATATCGGAGTGTACGATAGTTGAAGGAGGGAAGTTGATATGGTAAATTGGATGATGTGGAGGGTATTTATATTCCGCAATGCTTGGGCCCGCGAGGGACGGAACGCGTAGTCAAATATCAGGAATGTGTTCGCGACGCCATAATTGGGGATGGTCAATTCGCGCAGTGGGAACTTCTGGAAAGCGGAAACAGGTGGCGGGATTTCGGTGGCGGTAAAAGGAAAGGGACTTTTCGTTCTGTGAGGGAAATCAGGGGGCCGGTTTAGTTGGTCGTAATTGTCCGCTTTAGGCACCTGGTTTTTAAATAGTGTGTAAATTAATGGGCTTCGCATCTGTTTTTTGAACTGGGTGGCTTTGCGTAGTGCCGAATGAAATTTTTGTTTCTGACCACTTTTCTAAAAATGCTAGTCTAGCACCGTTCATGTTCTGTGTAGACATCACCTGATAACTTTCCCAATTAGTTCTTAAGCGTTTGAAAATCAAGCAAGTACGCTTAGACACGCTAAATCATCCTTCTAGCGCATCTGAATCCGGTTAGGTCGTGACCTTAACTTAAACAAAACATCGATAACTTTCATTTTTAATTTTAATTTTTCAATAAAGTATAAAAGAATTGCTGAATACTTAAATGAACACTCATTTTATACTTGTTCCCCATATTCTCAATATGTTTTAATACTTTATAATTTATATGTTATTTTATTTTGCAATTTATGTATCTCAATCTAATGATTTATGTTTTTAAAGCATAAACAGACACTTATTTATACCATATATAATAAATTTATTTAAATCCGTCTAGTCCTCCTATATGCCCCCATCTAGCGCTCTAGGCGCTAAATGTCACATCCCCGCCCGGGTCCTCACTATATCCCGGGCTCGACTGTACTGTAGCACGATATTGTTCGTTTTGGGCCTCTACCACACCCTCACGATTTTGTTTCTGGAAATTCACACAAGAACTTCCCAGTGGGTCATCACTCATGAGATTGCTCTTGCACAAACTCGCTTAACTTCGGAGTTCCAATGGAACCCGAAGCCAGTGAGCTCCCAAAAGGCCTCGTGCTAGGTAGAGATGAGAACATACATATAAGGCTAAGAGGATCTACTCCCTTGGGCGACGTGGGATGTCACAATCCATCTTTTTTAGGGGCTCGACGTCCTCGTCAGCATACTTCCGGGTAGGGATTGGCTCTGATACCAAATTGTCACATCTCACCCGAGCCCCCACCAGACTCGACTCCACCGTAGCACGATATTGTCCGCTTTGGGCCTCTACCACACCCTCACGGTTTTGTTTCTGGGAGCTCACACGAGAACTTCCATGTGAGTCATCCATCCTGGGATTGCTCTCGCGCGAACTCACTTAACTTCGGAGTTCCGATGGAACCCAAAGCCAATGAGCTCCCAAAAAGCCTCGTGCTAGGTAGAGATGAGAATATACATATAAGATTAAGATGATCCACTCTCTTGGACGATGTAAGATGTCACACTAAATCCCGACCTGCTGCTCAACTAGAGTGTACTGTCTTTTAGAACCTTGTTTCTAACATGTTAATTTGCAGTTCGCGCATAGCATGTACTTGAAAAATAGGAGATTTTTCAATATATTGATAAACCGGTAAAGTAACTAAGCATTATAATGTAAATGGTCAAATGCTTGAAATTATTTTTAATAATTTATATTATGAAATTTAGTATAACAAATCAGGTTTTCAACACATTAAAATATTTGTCTTTAACGATAGAGGGTTGAAATCGGGTAAATACTTGAGTTCGATGTGGAGTCACGGTGATGGTGATGATGATGGTGATGGTGATGGATGTCAAACTGTAAGAACTCCAAATTTAATTATTTTGGCCCATTAACATAATTAGACCGACAAATCTTAAGATTATAGAGTCGTAAACCCAAGAGAAAAAGCATGGACCCGATTCACACTGGATTCGGTAAGAAAACAATATAATACAATAACGGACAACTCACGTCGCGCCACGCGTAACCTCCTGTGACAAACCCGAGATATTTATCTCCCATTTCCGTTGAGCTCCAGAAGCTTTCCCCCCTTTCCACCGCAAAAGCATTCAACGCCAGAAGAAAGAAGAAGATCAATCGGGATTCCGAAACGATGTCGTGGCAGCAGTACGTCGACGACCACCTGATGTGCGATATCGACGGCAACCGCCTCACCGCCGCCGCTATCCTTGGCCAAGACGGCAGCGTTTGGGCTCAGAGCGCCACTTTCCCTGCTGTTCGACTCTCTCTCTCTCTCTCTCTCTCTCTCTCTCTCTCTCTCTCTCTCTCTTCTTCGTGTTTATTTCGCTGTTTAAGGTCTAGATTTACTTCGTTCACTGGATCTGATTTCGAAAAGTAACTTTATCACTGACTGGTTCGGTCGATCGGTTTCTGATCCGATCGATGACGTGCATACGATTGAAACTTGATAAATAGTTGATGAACTTCGTTGAAGTGTTTATGTGGTTTTTGATCTGATTAATTCGGAGTAATCGTTCTTGATTTGAATCAGATGCGTGATTTACTTTTACTGTATTCCTGTTTGGATTAGAGTGTAAATCTAAATGATCAGAACAAGTTGGTTTATTTATTTTTGGGTATGTTGACGAATATATTGTTCGCCGGCGTGATTTTGTTGTTTGATTGTTGTTATAGTTTAAGCCTGAGGAGATTGCCGCAATTCTGAAAGATTTCGATCAACCCGGAACACTTGCCCCAACTGGATTATTCCTTGGTGGGACGAAGTATATGGTGATCCAGGGTGAAGCCGGCGCTGTCATTCGAGGAAAGAAGGTGAGGTTTTGGAATCCTCCTCTTACCAGATGCCATTGCTTTTAGCTTAAATTCAGAGATTGTGGAATACAGAACTCTTTGTCATATGAATGTCGTTTTGATTGATTGCGGTTCAGTGTTGCTACTTAGAGTTTCCGTCGAAGATGGGGAGATTTGGAAACCACATAATGCTACTTTATAGGTGCAGATGTTTGATTTTTTTTTTCTCTTTGATATTTCTATTGACGTGATGCGTCTACTGTATCAGGGTTCGGGTGGAATTACTATCAAGAAGACCAGCCAGGCCCTGTTAATCGGTATATATGATGAGCCTGTGACTCCTGGGCAGTGCAACATAGTTGTTGAGAGGCTGGGCGATTACCTGATCGAGCAGGGTCTCTAATTGCTTCGGTGAGTTGATTATCTCCCCAATTGCCTCCTGTGATTTGCTGTTTTCATTTCTGGGTTTTTGCATCAACTGGAATTTGCGTTGATTTCGTTCTTTTGTTTGACAGTTACTATTTAATTTGAAGTCATGGTGAATTTGGTTTGAAAACAAAGTTGTTGCTGCTTGGGATGTGATGGATATTATGTGTAAAAGCCGTTTGTCTTTGCATTCCGGGATCTCTGGATATGGATTGTCGTTGTGAATGATAGTGTCTTAATTTTACAATTATCATCCCTAAAATTTATTTTGTTCCTTTCACTGGAAAACGCATGTAATTGCTGTCGTTATCTCCGGAATGCCTTGCGTATTTGTACTAAGTAGTTTGGTTTATCAGAACATGAGTTGGGCGAAAGACGGGGAACATTATTTGCTTTGCCTTTTCATTGCTTGTCCGAAGATGTTAACTTTTGGGTTTTGAGTAAGTTTGTGGATTTCCAGAATGCAATTAACAAGTGGAATTTGTGGATTTCCAATGGGGTCGAATCACCGAGCCATTTGCTGAGTTTGTTGATGTGAGGGTATTTGAGCAATCTTTATTACTGTTATGCGGCTAACGACGTGTTTTATATGTATTTATCGTGAAATTTATCATCTTACAAAGGAAAAACTTTGAAGTCGAAAATTCCATGATGCTTAAGAAGGCGGATACTAATTCTGTTACCCCATACATCCGGCTTTGGAAGCCGTTCTCTGCTTCTCATCAGCACTCTTGACTGAGGTTTACCATCACCTCCCTTCATAGTTGAAGTGGAGAGATCTATATTTGGGCCCCACCCATAATCCTAACGCCCTAGCTAGGTACACTTATATAGCACTCTTTAGATTTTTTAACTAGGGTTAAAACCTCAAAACTTTTAACTGAGAAACAACATTTTTTTTTTCCAACCCTTCTAGGTTAAATTTTGTGGTAATAGGGTAATAGGAAGATAGCCTTTGTGGTAAAAAAAAGAAAAAAAAAATTAGGATTTAAGTTTTGTTAGGATTTAAGTTCAAAATTGAAAATTTTGTCAACTTTCAATTTTGAATCTAAATCCTAGTAGACTTAACTACAAGAATTTAAATCCTAATTTTTTGATCATAGGGATACCTTCCGACTATCCTATCACCACATGAACTATCAATCCAATGAAGCTTAAATTTTTAGTCCGAGAATATTCAAGGATGAATTTAAGATAATTTTTTTAAGTAACTTTTCTTAAAAAAATTATGTAGATTATCCTAATTTAATTATATGAACATTTTAATTGAAAAATATTTAGATTTCGATAAATATTGAAAAATCTTTAAACTGACATCATAAAACTCGTGGAACATTATGGAAGAATATAAAACACATAAAATATTTTTGTTTAATTATTTTAGTCGTTGGATTTGAATTTAGATCGTTAATTTTTTTTTTTATCGTTGGATTTGATCATATTAAATTTTAACCGTTAGATTCAATGAATTTATAAATATAAAACTATAAAAAGTACATATATATGCTGGAGCTCTACTAACCCAGGGGAAATCCTAGGCTAAATTTGCCTCAGAAATGAGTTTTGGGTTAAAACTTATATTTGTTTCAAGGGTTGGAGCAAATTTGAGTAAGTTTAAAACCTAAATTTTAAGTTTTACTTCAAGAATTGAAGTAGATATTAGGAAACACGTATGGGAAGTGATGATAATACTTAACTATGAGAATGGGAAGCCTTAAGAGGTGTTTATATGTAGGCGAGGATTTTGGCTTTAGGTGAAGTTAAGACCATTAACTTCCCAAGATTCAATATTGTGATGAAAGAATTTTGAAATGGTATTTTTTTTTTTTTTTATTGAGAGCAAAATCCGCACTAGAGTTTATAGACATAATTATTTTATGCTATCAAGTTTGTTGAAACATTCATTGTTATGAATCATTACATCGACAGAATTAAATGTGCATTTAACATGTATGAAGTCATGGAGCAAAAGGCAATCATTTGTGTTGTAAAATAAGAACTAAGCGCGGGGAATCATTTCTTTTATTCATTTTGAAATTGGCACGAGAAGACCAATTAAATAAAGATATTAAAACGCTATTTCAAAAAACGCAAATAATCTTTTCAATGACGGAAGAATAAAAGTATCACAAAAATATCAAACTTTAGTATAACATTGGGATAAAAAAATTTGATATATGAAAATTTAAAAACCATGATACTTGAAAGTAATGAAGTGTAAATTACCTTTAATATTAATATAAATTACCAGAACAAATGCTTGGTGTAGAAGAGGCCCTATTTTACTTCTCACGTATATTTTTAATTTTCGATCGTCGAATCGGATGAATTGAAGAAGATCAACGAACAGAAATTATCAAGGGCGTGTGAGAAGTAAAATGGTATGTGTGGATAGCACACCCCTCTTTATGTATGAGAGTGTAGAAATGTAAAAGTGTGGTGTGCCTGTACTCTAAACACGGAGCCGACTTTTAAGTTTTAAGAAACACCAAATTATGAAATAAATAAAAATAAGTGTGGACTCTATTGGAACCGATCTCTGAATTTTAAGGTTTAAATTTTTTTCTCCTTCTCCTCGCCAAAAGGGTTAGTGGAGATCATTATGCTGCACCCGAGAATGCGTCCACTTTCGTCAAGTTGGACCTGCTAGAGAAGTTAAAGCTCCGAGTTTCTACCACTGTGGGTAAATCCATTGTTTTTGCTGAACTTTGCCATTTGATGTTAGCTTTTCCGACGCTCCGGGAGACTTGAAGATGCTAATGCCATACGAAGCTCTAGTTTATGTCATCCCTAAAAGAGAAAGAGCTTCGTATGACACTAGTGTCTTCAGAGCTTTCCCACCCTCAGATGACATCCTCCAGAGTTCCTTATGACTTTAGCGTCTTCAGGGCCTCTGGAAAAGCCAGAAGAGCTAATAGCAAATGCGAAAGCTCAGCAAAGACAATGAATTTGCACATAGCATGAAATACTCGGAGCCTTGGTTTCTTGTTTTACAAGAGATGATCTTAATGATTTCCTCAGTTACTGTTGGTGACTGTTGCAGCTGATTCAATATACACACTTTCGGTAATTTGACTTTAATGCATTTAACTTCAAATTTAGCAATAGCAATCCGTGAATTATATGTTGGGGAGGGGGTTTGGCCGTTGTTCTACTGTCAGTTGTTTGCCATATTTTGAAGTTGAACCGCATGGTATGCAAAAACTCCATTTTTATTTCGCTTCTCTTCAAATTTCGACCCAATTTCATCCAATCCTTTTCAATCCAAGAATTAATTGCTTATTAAATTGGAATATGTGCACATCCACCTTTTCAAGTTTCAACCCTAGGTGTACACAACCACCCTAGGGGCATGAACCCCTCCCTACGACCCTAGGTGTACACTATAAAAGATGTGATATCTGTTTTTGCTTCCGAAAGAAAAAATCCAAACAAATCATGGGAAGCACAATGCCGCGTGGAGGTTGTCCAAGATGTGCTTCGGACATGGGAAGCACAATGCCAAGGTTTTTTTTGAGTGATTATGAAGGAGGATGTCAAGCTGGCCAGGGGGTTATCGAACTCCGCATGCATCCGGATAATGCCTCTGAATTCTCCAAGATAGATCCTTTGGAGAACCCCAAGATGCGCATTTTCGATGCCGTGTGCAAGCTCACCGTGTTTGCGGAGCTCTCCCACATCCTTTTGGCTCTTCCTGCTCTGAGGGAGGCGCTTAAGGCGTTGACTCCGTATGAGGCATTGGATTACATGTTGAAGAAAGAGGGAGAGAAGTGGGACCTGAGCAGGGGCTACACACAGTAGGACCGCTCCAGGGATGAGATGGCAAATGGCTGGTGTAGGGAGATAAGGACCATAATGCGTGGAGAGGCAAAGCGACAGAAACCAGAGGAATCGGTTGGAGAGAGCAAATCCAAGAAGGAAAAAGAATCGGGGGGAGAGAGCGAATCCAACAAGGAAGAGGAATTGGCGGGATCTCTGTAACTCGATTTTGATTTTAGATTTATTTATTTATTTTTATCTATGATGCATCTTGTAACTCGATTTTGATCCTAATTTGCTTCTTAAAACTCAAAATTCGTCACTTTACTCTCGAAAATTCAATTTTGATTGCGCTTTTCTCCCTCAAACTCAAAAGACACCACTTTTCTCCTTGAAACTCAATTTTCAACCTCATTTTGCCTCATAAAACTCAAAAGTCGTCACTTTAATCTCTGAAACACAATATTCACTCTACTCTAACTTGTTCCCCTGTATTCCGCTTGTTTATGTGACATAATTAAGGCCCACTTATGGCCAACGTGGCACAAGTATAAAGTTCACATATTCAATTCCGCTTGTTTAGGTGACATAATTAGGGCCCACTTATGGCCAACGTGGCACAAGTATAAAGTTCACATATTCAATCAAATGGTGTCACATAGATTGAAACAAGAACAACAAAAAATTCACTTTTCAAACATTGTATAACACATTTAAAAAAGAAAAAGTAAGAAAAACAACAAAAACAATTCATGGGTTTCATATCTTCGATCCCTCCCTCTTCCCTATCTCTCTCTAATCGTTGTCCATACATTCATTCCTTCTACCCTTCATCTCCAACCACCTTATTCTTAGTAAAAATAGGTTGCTTGTCGTCCAAGTAAACAGTTGATATTCGATGAACTCCACATAAATCTTACACAAATGTCATGGGTGTATCGCTCTCCTGAAATGCAAAATATTGAACATGGTGTGAATGTTAGTCACATAGTCATCAACATTTGATGAAGTCACATTCGGCGACACTTTTAATTGTTCATCCTTTTCAGCCTCAATAATTGGAAAACTTCCCCATCATAATTCGTATTTATGTCATGTAATTTAATGGCTCACAGTAAGAGTAAGAATGTTTGTTTCCTGATCTTAATCGTTGGTTGGATAGTGTTTATAATTTTTTGTAGGCTTAAATATATGAATATATATATATATATATATTTATTTATTAAGTTAGTTCAAGAGATTTTAGAGGAAATTTTTTTACATAAAATCCTAATGGTTTTTTTTCTAATTGTTTCATTCATTTTTAGGGTTTAAGAAGCTCGGTTGGTTGGTTGAAGAAAGGAGTCCCGCCCATATCCTGTCAGTAATCACAACCTTGTTCTGCTTCTCTGTAATACGCTGCATGTCGAAAATCAAACAGATCAATCACTGATGGGTCTTCATTTTGAACTGTTCGGATCAACATTTCTATTGGGATACATCTCATGAAATTGAAGAAGATGCAGTTGAAGGCGAAAATAAGAAGCGATAACTATGTAAGAGATGGGGAACCTACATTGAAAGGAATATAAGAATGCCTTCCATTGACAGGCCCACATGTGAAGCCTGTGTACCCTGCCATTGCTCCATGAACAGCACTTTGAGCA